CCGAACAAAGCCAACAAGTGGCTAAAGCACGGACATTACGCCGCGCACAAATACGTTTAACAATAGCCGCCCATCTCCTATATAATGTATATCAATATTCCTATTGTTACCCCGAGAGATAATGAGAGAGATTCATTTAATTACTACTTGGAATAAAACTTCTTCACTTCACCAGCGGCGGCAATAAGAGTCCATTTATGCTCCTGTGTGGTTATAATAAAGCGCGTTTTAGAATGCATTGTGGCGCTGTTTTCACGTGTTTTAGCACGCATTACTTGAACGCATTGCTAAGCGGGGACGAAGAGGCTGTAAAATACGTATAACATTAAGGTATAGTGCGATTTAGAGGCGTCTGGGCGCACGCAGGCGATTTTTGCTACAGCGACCACCAACAATAATCACTCCGCAATAGCCGGCGATCAGCAATCGACTGCTACACATAGGGAACAATAGAGCGCGTGGTGGCGATTATTACATAACGATAGCGTAATACTCAACATCCGTGCTATCGATCGCCTCTATATGCAACTGCACGAGTGACGATGGCTGGGTATTAAAAACGGGCAATCGCGGGCTATTTAAGTAGAGTGATCGTGCCAGTCAATCGCCTGCAACAAAACACACAGATAGGAACTGCTCCCCCTGCACGGCTGCGGTGGCTCTTGAGGTGCGGCGTAGTATGGGCCCTACAGGGACAATTTCTAAAAGGTGTGAAATTTGCACCTTTTTTTTTTTTTACGCCTACCAGAAAGCTGTTCGCTGAACCGCCGAATTATTATCAATGCGATCGACTATGATTAGATTCAAAGCACAGCGCAAACTGTTGGCGCTATATAAATCCTGTATAATAATCATCATTTAAAAAACTGTCCGAAAGGTCCTTTTTCTACATATTTCCAACACCAAAATGTTATTTGACAGCACCCTTGGGTGTGATTTTGCTCGTTTGGGCATCGAGTTTGAAGGTGTTTTGCACGTTTTTTTTTTCCTGTGCTGAACAGCATATAAAAAAACATAGAAAAAGAAAGAAAAATAGAAAAAAAAAATAAAAAGAAAAGCACGTGAAATGCCAGATAAATAGCTACTATCATTTTTTTTGTTATATAGCGGAGTAAAAAAACAAAAACAAAAAAAAACCTCTTAAATGTAAACAAAAATATATATTTTTTTTAAATATAATTTTCCTCCTTGTATGTGAGGATGCTGATCACCCTTTGGAATTTCTCCGTACTGTCGGCGCTGAGCCTGGACCCCATCTACTGGAACAGCTCGAATAAAAGGTACGTCAGTTATAATGGGGGGCTCCTTGCAACGATGCGCCCCTCGCTCCTTCTTTTCTCTCATTTCTTGCCTTTGGCATCCTTTTCTTTCTTTCTTGCTCCTTTGCAACCTGCCTGTCATTACGAGACGTCAACGCCAAATGCGGCGCTGACCGAAATTGTTTATATATATATATATGTGTGTGTGTGTGTCATTAGGGTTGTACTCAATCCTTCCGCACACACACTTTGCAAGCTCGGCTCCCTCCATGCTTTCAAAATCAAAAAGCAGAGATGGGCGAA